GAGCCGCTCTGTTGACCTCCTTAAACTGTTTAAAATCTACGTTTCCTTGAAAAGACTTTTGGGACCGCCATATCAAAACATGTTATGAACCAGTGACTATGTATATAAACCATCAAATTTCATTCGAATGGACTATTTATGGTTTAGCTTCTAATTGTTACACTAAATTACTATACTTCTAATTATATGACAATCGGATGATGATTGTTTCAGCTATAAGTGGTTCGACGCCGGACAAATGTCATTCGTTCAACTTTGACCATTCCTATTGGTCCTACTGCAGAGATGATGCTCATTTCGCCAGCCAAGCACAAGTTTATGAAGAGCTTGGCGTTGAAATGCTCGAACATGCTTTTGAGGGGTAAGCTTTCCCTGTTTTCAAATACGATTTCCTTCCATGTGCCTTAAAGTCTGTCAATCAAAAATCAAGCAAAAAATCAAGCCTAAGCGGAAGAAACGCCCATCGAACGAGTGATTGGAAAATTTGCACCGATTTCTTTCTGCTTTGGATTTTATATGTCAAAGGTGTACAAGTCTTCTAAATCTTGATGAAAAAGTAGTACCCGAAGAAAAATCGCAGGAAGATTTTTTGTTTTAACTACCTCCACTTAGAGAAAATGTGATGTTTTTGGCCACGACTCAATCTGATATTCTATTCAGTGAGCGAGGAGCAGAATGCAAGAGTTTATGAGAAAAATGACACAAGTGCAGTTGAAGAAGTATATATCTACTAAAATGTTTAGGTATAACGTATGTATTTTTGCCTATGGCCAAACGGGTGGTGGCAAATCCTACACGATGATGGGAAAACCGGGTGACGAGCACGAGATGGGCATCATCCCACGATTGTGTAACGATTGTGAGTTTTTCTTCTTACTGTAATAAACAGTTGGTAAGGTGATTTTTTCACTTATCTAATGCCCTTGCTGTTGAGTTAATTACAAGACTATGCAACCCAGCAGATTTTGTAGAAACAATGCAAAGAATCACTGATTAAATCTAACTTTTGTAATATTATTATAGAAATTAACAGCGTACTAATGCAAAACCCAAACAACAAAACGTTAGCCTTTTTTCGAAGTCTACCTGCTGAGAGTTTATA